ATTAAATCTTATTAGAAATCAAATATATTAATATGAGATTATATGTCATTAACTAGGGAATGGTACTTGATATGAATTCGACCCCATACGACTTAACAAAATTGTTTTCTTAATTTAAGTTAAAGTCGAGTCGGGTTGAGTCCAATATTTTTAAGGATAATGTTGGATCAGGTTAAATCAGGTTTGAGTTTATGGTGAAAAATATCAATTCCGATATGAAAATAATAATATAATCGACCCTTATATATTTAGAAACATTGCTATAATACTCTCATCTCTATTTTTCCCAATTAAGTATATTTTTATATAATAAAAATAAAAATTATATATATATATGTGTGTGTGTCTCTGTGTTAGACCAAATGTGAATTTTTACCTTAAAAATCAAGCCGAGTTTCGATTCAGGTGAAATTTTTCTAAACTTAGATTAGGTCATGTGATAAATAATAATATAATTATTGGTAATGCTTAATCCTACATAATATTGGAAATACTATTGGGAATTGATATTTAAGGTTTGGATTTCTCACTTCCTTATTGAGTGAAAGAGAACAAGGGAGACTCTCGCGCGCAGCTGCTGCCGCCGTCCGTCTCGGCTCGTGGTCGTACATGTCTTCGATACGTCCGCGCGGATACTATCTTTTTAGAGAAAATTCTTGAGGAATTTCTGTTTGAAAGAAACAAATGGAAAAATGTGAAAATAGGCTGCTGAGGACTGTTTAAATTCAAATGATAACAATTGGTTTATGAGTTATCAAAAATTAAACAACTTTATCCTAAATTAAATAAAAAAATGTTAAGATATATATGGACTAATTTCCAGCTTTGTACAAAGGGGACAAGCTGTTAATATCAGACATTACATTGATTTAATTTCAAGAGTTACATGATATATAACAGCTGAATAACGATGCAATGAACCTGGACTATTTTTGAGCCAGGTTCATATAAAGTTTCAGCTGTTACAAAGAATGGTTTTAATCCTGGTTTTTATGGACAATTTTAACCCTATTTATAGCCTATAAATTGAGAGCTGAATTCAGCTTCTCAACTCACTCTCAACATTCAGAATTCACTTTCCAAGTGTTTTCTAAATATTTTCTTTGTGTACTTTCCGATCAGAAGTTCAATACCACCAGCATTCCACTCCGATTTCGGGTGTACGGAATTCGGAGCGACCGTGTTAACTTCAGGGGACAGTCCGCCTACTGCAGCGATTACACACATCGGGGCGAATTTGTTTTCTAAGGCAATGGTTATACCACGACACGGTTTACGAATATGTTCATTTTCAATTATTGTTTATCTTTTCTATCAGTGCTAACGATGTGGTTTTGTAGTCTATTTTTACCAACAATAATCGACCCTTATATATTTAGAGACAATTGCTATAATACTCTCATCTCTATTTTTTCCAATTAAATCTATTTTTATCTAATAAAAATAAAAATTATATATATGTGTCTCTGTGTTAGAGCGAGTGTGATTTTTTATCTTAAAACGCAGGTGAAATTTTTCTAAACTTAGACCAGGTCATGTGATAAATAAAGGGGTGTTAAACTTGATCGAATTCAAATGAGCTAAAAAGCTTACCAACCCTATTCTATGATCATCCCTATCATTACCTCATTAAATATTCACAATATAGATGCTAAACATGTCTAAATATACTTAGATATAAAATCTTTAAAATTTTAAATTATCATATATTTTAAATATATTTATATTTTTTTGATAATTTTTTTCATCTATAAAATTTTATAAATTAATTTATTCTTAAAATTTTAAAAGTTTTCCGGGTTGATGCCAAGTATACTCATATGTGATTTGATTTTCACCAAATTCACGACCTTACATTTTCTTTCTTAATCAAATTGAAGACAACACTCTTCGGCCTCTATAAATATGGGAAAGAATTTCAACCAATACCTAATGGAGACAACTGTTTAAGTCAAAAGCACTGTTTTTCCATTTGGGAAAAGAAAAGGTGTTTTTATTTTATTATTTTGGTTACCGAATTGAGAGAAAGATAGAAGAAATACCAAACCTGAGAGGCCAAACCTCTGACAAGAAATCAGTCAAAACATAGTTTGAAGGGGGAAGTGGTAAGAAGACGATGATTGGTGAACTTTTGCTTTAGGAGTCGAGGGTGGGGATGAATGAATTAGACAAGTTGTCATGTGAGAAGAGCACCAATCCCATGAAAGTTAAGCATAGTGATTAGAATGATTAGGTTAATATTTTTAGGATCAAAAAGCTTCAAATTCATGCCCACACAGTGAGGTTTGGTGATCTACTCTGGGCCTTGTAGCCCCTTTGCTTTTTGAAAAGAGCATGGTGGTTTGTTTCAAAGTGTGGGATTTTGTGTGTATTGGAATTAGGAAAAAGGTGTTGTGGGGTTACTTCATCATTCTCCTCTTTTTTTAGTTCCCACACACCCAAGGCCTTTTCCCATTGTGTAATATTTAATTTCCCTCTAAATATTGCACTGAACATGGAGTGTTAGCACTTGTATGCCTTTTATTATAGTAATTCGTTATAAGATTTATTAGTTGATTAATCTTTGGAGTACTTTATTCTTAATGATTTATTTTGAGATATTGGATGAAAATTATTAGTTGATTAATAGTAAATGTTTTATCGTTAATATGATAAGTTTTACGTGTATAAAATACTGAAATGACAAGCATTGTGTGTCTTAAGTATTGACGTAAAACTTGTCATATGTTCAAAGTAATGATGTGATATATATCACATATAAAATGATGAGGTAACACAAGACACATGTTTAAATTTATGAGGTGGCACATGAAACATATTTAAAGTGATAAAGTGACACATATCACGTGTATAAAATAATTACGTGACACGTGTCACGTATTTAGATTGATAATGCGACATATATCACATGTCCAAATTAATAACATGTCTTTATCACTTATTAAAATTGATGGCATAAAATATATCGCTTTAGACAAATAAGTCTTGTCATATCAACTATAAATGTTGATGGTAAACCAACAAATAATTCCTAATTAACCGTGTTAAAAATTAAAATACTTTAAAAAATAGTATTCAAAAATAATTATTTTATTAAACATTAAGAATGAATTATTTCACGATGTAAATCGAAAATACGACTTAACTATGGGTTGATTTAAAGCCTAGTAACGTGAAACGAGACATCCGAACAGGCCATAAATTGGTTGAGAATTAAGTTACAGGTAGGTGGGCAGTGGCCCATTTTGGGTATGATAGTACGAATGACCCAGCAAGCTGACCACGTGATTTGGTCTCCATATCTTAATGCGGTGCTCGTGAATTTGCTTGGGCCCAATGACCCACTTACCTCGATGGCTCTACTCGTGAATTTTCTCATTAAGTGAATGAGAGTGGAAATATACATAGGCATATACCTTTCAAGCAAAAACCAACCAACAGCACATGGGTATTAGCTCACTCTTGTTGAAAACTCTGATAACGATTTTAAATAAATATTAATTTAATTATCAAATAATTAAAAATATGGTTTATAGTAAATATTATTATAATATTAATTTATCTCTTCATATTTTTATACAATGTATTTTAAAATATAACTAAAATTATTTTTAAGAATAAAATATGTAATTTATAAGTTTTATCATTTTATCTATAATCATTTTTTTATTTAATTTCTTAAAAATATATATCTTTTACATAAAATATTTTCATCTATTGAACTTGATAATCTAATCTATATGATATTTTTGTTATCATTTTATTTAAGTGTGTAGGAATCGTATTTATACCGTGGCATAATAGTAAATCTCGCAAAACCTTAGCCCTGAATATGAAAACATCACTCAATCGACACTACCAACTATGAAAGTAAAATAGTAAATTACATTAATTGCAACCAAATTTTTAATTAGTTTTTATTTTGATCACTAAATTTGAGGAGTTACATTTTAGCTATTAATAAATTACATCGTTCTGTCAATTCCGTCACATCTCTTAGGATAATAAATGAGACGAGACATGTCGTGAACTACTCATATTTGATTTGATCAATAGTTGAATTGAATAGAGTCGATTCAAGTTTGATCTCAACTTAAATTCTTAACGAGTCTAAGCGAACTACTTGATATCAGGTTCAAAAAATTCATGAGCAACTCAAAAATAGTATACTAATTTTTAAATTTTTAAATTAAATTATTAATAATATTTACATTTATATAGTGATTTTTTAATATAGTGTAAGATTTTAATGTACTTAAGGTTTAGATTTGAGCTTGAGTTCAAGCTTTAATTGAGTTAAATTTGAAAATATTTCGAGTTTAAGTTTTTTCAAGCTCGAGTTGAGCTTCAATTTTTAATTTTTAATTCAAGTCAAATTTGACAAATTTAAGCTCGTGAACTTTCAAGTTGAGTCGAATTTTTTTTGAACTTTTTGAATCGAGTCGAGCTCAATTCAACTCATTTACAACCATAATGTCTCCAACCATTACAACATCTATATCAAGCTCATATATTTATTTATAATTAAAGAAAATAGTGGAGTGACGATTGAGTAGTGAAAATTGAGGATGTTAATGATAAGTTAATTACTAAAAATAAAGTTTTTAATCATTTTATAAAATTAAATCCTTTTCAGAATTGAATTAATATTTTAATTGTTTTTTAAGAATTAGATTTAATAATAATTTCTTTTTATTAATGTGTTACATCAAACTATTAAAAATTAACAAAGGATTATTTTATGATTTATCAATAATTTTAATGACCAAATCAAAACGTTTACAACTTAATGACCAAAATAAAAATTCACTGAAACTTTATTTTCCCCTCTTTTGGCTGCTAGGGTATTTCTCTCTCTAAATTATTTCCATATCTTTTCCATTTTCCTTTTCTTGGTTCCTTTCTCACTTCACTTTCTTGCAGATCTATTTATTCTAAGGTTTGTTTGATTGAAAAATATAATGAAATTATCAATGAATATTTTGTGTGAGTAAGTTTTTCTTATATATATAAAAAACATAAACGACGATTATATATTTGGAGGGGTTTAGCTTGGGTATTTTTTATTGAAGAAATGGCGAGCTCGAACCCTTTTGATTTGTTGGGAGATGATGATACCGGGGAGCTTTCAGTACTGATCGCTGCACAGCAAAAGCCAGTCTCAACCGCCAACGCCGCCGCCGTTCCAAAGAAGGGCCCGACTCAGTCCCAGGCTAAGCCGCAACCTATTACTCAGACTAAACAAGCTAAACTTCCCTTCAAGCCTCTCCCTCCTGCTCAGGCCGGTAAGCTTAACCTATAAAAGTTACTTGTTATTTCATCTGCTTGTATTATTTGGGTCCTCAATTTTATCTGCTTAATCAGTAGAAAGGATATTGTAATATAAAATATTGAGTGTTTTTTGTGTACTGTCCTGAGAGTAATGGTTTTGGGTTAAGCTTAAGTTACCGTTTTTTTAAGGTTGAGTTGTGGGGATTTTGAAGTGGGTTCATGATATTTTTCCGTAGCTTCGTTTGTTGTACACAGAATGTTTCAGTTGTATTTACTTCCTGTGTAGTACAAAATCATGTCAAGTTGGAAAGTTATGATTCTGTGGATTTTGTGTCTTCTATATCTTGAGGTATGTTTAATATAATACTACTAACCTCTTTGAAGTGAGGGAGGCAAAGACCGAAGGTACTCGTGGCGGAGGCCGTGGTGGACGTGGATATGGACGTGGGCGTGGTGGAAATGCTGGATATAGAGGTGATACTGCCAATGATGAGAACTCATTCAGCAACAGTGTTTTGCCTGGTGGTCAAGGTGCACTTGAAGATGGAGAGAGTGGAAAATTCTCTGAAAGGCGTGGATATGGTGGTCCTCGGCCTTATCGTGGTGGTCGCCGTGGTGGTTTCGGTAATGGGGAAGCTAGAGATGGGGAGCTACCTCGCAGGGTGTTTGAACGTCATAGTGGGACTGGGCGGGGGTAAAAGATTCTTTTTTGGCTGTTTATCTTGATATTCTCCGGTTTTGTGTTTTATGGAAGTCTTAAAAGTGATGCTTTTTGTTGTTGTTTATGTCTGCAGAAATGAGCTCAAACGAGAAGGCTCTGGTCGTGGGAATTGGGGAAATCAGACTGACGAACTATATCAGTGAGTTGTCTTTGGTTCTTAAAATTCCAGTCTTGTAAAATAAAATAAATCATCACTTCATTTTGTTCTTATTTCATCATTGTAATCATCGAGGGAAATGAGATTTTGTCTTTGTTTCTTTCAGGGTCACTGAAGAAGCCAATGAAACGAATAAGAATTTTGCTGATGAGAAGCCAGCAGGAGAAGAGGATACAGGAGATGCTAACAAGGAGAACCCTACAGATGAATCAGAAGAAAAAGAACCTGAGGATAAGGTAGAACCACTTGACAATTTATCATATGAGACGATTATTAATATTTGTAGCCTTTTGTAATTGTAAATCTACGGGTACAAACTAGGGTATTACTGTGTGTGACCTTTGATATTGAAATAGGAGATGACTCTTGAGGAGTATGAGAAGGTGCTGGAAAAGAAAAGGAAGGCTCTGCAGGCACTCAAGACTGAGGGAAGAAAAATTGATGCCAAGGAGTTTGAGTCTATGAAACAGCTTTCAAACAAGAAGAAGAATGATGATGAGGTTTTCATCAAGTTGGTAAGACCCGTTGATTCACTTTAGAAGATTCTATCATGAATTACTTGTCTTATTTGTTGGCAAATATGTAGTAATCATCTGTCCTGGTTTTCTTGTATAGGGCTTTGATAAGGATAGGAGAAAAGAGGCTTATGAGAAGGAAGAGAGAGCCAAAAAGGTTTTTTTCATTCTTATGTTTTTGTGATCTGTTTTTCCGGTTTATACGAGCCTCCATATAAGTTAATTTGATGCATAGCACCCATTTGAACATCAATTGTGCAATTTTGATTTTAACTATTATCAACTTCCTTGATTTAAACTTTTATCTATAATCCTTTCTCTTCCCTGAGCCCGAGGCTTAAATTGCAAAGCATGTGGATGTCTGTTCCTTTCATGATTCCATCTCTATCATGAATAAAGTTTTAGTGGCATGTATTGATCCTTATACCTGTGATGGTAGGCTCTGAGCATTAATGAATTTCTGAAGCCTGCTGAAGGGGAGAGGTACTACAACCCAAGTGGACGTGGACATGGGCGTGGTCGCGGGCGTGGTTCAAGAGCATTTGGTGGTGGCAGTGAAGCAAGTAATGTGGCAGCACCTTCCATTGAAGACCCTGGGCAGTTCCCAACTTTGGGAGGCAAGTGAGGTTTCTGTAGAACAACCCCACATGCCATCTCCATTTTAATTTTCTGGAATTTTTGGGTTCTTCATATAGATAGGCTCTGAACTCAAATAACCTGGTTCCCTGTTGTCTAAATTTAATGTTTTAAAAATGTATATTTTGTGTTTTCTTCATGATTTGACTCTCCAGTTCCCAATTTAATGGTTCCCTAACAATTGTTATGCTGTGATCTGACTCTCCCCTCAAATAAGAATGGAAACTGGAGCCCTGTGAAACTATTGTTGCTGTTGTTTTGAAATAGATGGAACTATTTTGCTACTTGTTTACCCAGAATGATTATGTGTTTGCACACTTAACCCAACCAAACTCTTACCAACTTGCTATTACAAAATTATTCTCTCCTATATGCTTTTCCGACTTATTTGAGATTAAGGCCTACTTCATTGTGATTGAACATCGAGTTTTTGGGATGAAAAGTGTTTTTTTCGGATTAGTTTTTCATCTCAAATATAAAAAGTTTAAAATAATGTCTCTTGATTATGAAAAAGTCTTCGAGTACGAAATTATCAAAATTTCTTTATTTATTCTTAATATTTTGTAGTTAATTATACCATTTAGGCGGTGGTTAAGGAACGAATTTTATTTCTTGAGGTCTCGGATTTAAGCGTTATGAACATTAATGGTATAAATATTTAATTTTAAATGGTTGAGAGTTACTTTAAATATATATTATTTAGTTTTAACAAATCATACCATTTTCTTTTACGTACTCAATTTTATTTTTGAAAAGAACGGTTTTAATTCCAACGATAATGAGAATTAAATCTAACTCCTTAAATGTATATGCATTAAAATAACAAAAATAATTTAATCTGAATATCCAATTAAGAATTTAGTTTGATTGGTTAATGTCACGTCATTATTTAACACTAATCAATATCATGTAATATAATTTGATTGTTAAAATATTACGTAAATAGATATGTATTAGTTTAAATATATTTTTAAATGCAAATATTAAAATAATCTATATACCAAATTAAAAGTCATCAAATCTCTACTCTCATCTTCAAAGTCCATGAGCAGTATAGTTATCCACACAACAAATACACCAAGCCCTTGAAAGCCCTTTCACAGGACATGTCCATGGATAGACTATCACCGATAGTGTCACATATCGTACGATTAATTCAACGAAACTGGCAGCTAAGGTTCGCACCTATCTTAAGGGAACAAAATGCAGTTGCTGATGGCATAGGTACCTTTCGTTTGATGCTCACTCTTTCTTGGAAATCACCTATGGAAGCAGAAGTTTTGTTTGTAAATGAACACACTACTGCTATAGCAAATTAATTTAATTTTCCACCTGTGTATTATATATTCAATATTCATTTTAAAAATGAGCAAATAAAAACGATCTATTATGATATTGATTTTTTTGTCAATATACGATACACATATAATTGTAATTGAATAAAATTTTAATTAAAACACAACCTGAAAAATTTATATAATTTCATAATAATTTTAATAATTTTTTTTTTTATAAATATTTTACTATAATTTTTGTATTTAATTTCAGATCTGTTGAAATTTTCATGATTTCTAGTGTGTTTTAAACTTAACCCTACAATTATAATATTTTGTTTCAGATCTGTTGATGAAATTGAGATGTTCTCTTCTATTCTGTTTTTATTATCGTCTTATTTTCAATTGAATATTTAGTTTTGGTTTCCGAAAAGTCTTTCTGTTTGGGTGTGGGGATTAGGCCTCATTTGGCGAATCCAACTCTGCATCACACTCCCACAAGTTTTATCGCTGGAGATATTATGTTCGTGCATCATTGAAACATGTGCTGATATTATCTGGTTGCAATCTTTTGCAGTGACTATCTGTTCAAGCTTCTGCTTATCGGAGATTCTGGTGTTGGAAAATCCTGTCTTCTTTTGAGATTTGCTGTAGGTTTCTTAAGTTGAAATTTGAAAGTAAATGTCTGCTTTGTAGAAATCCATTTGCCTTGTCGCACATTCTTACATGCTTATATGGTTGCCTTGAGTGTTTATATTCATGTTTTTCATTAGATTGTGATAATGATTGGTTAAAAAGTGTCACTGCTTAAGGGCATATGACATGTGTTGACAGAGTCAAATTTGTATTTCATGAGTTGGACATAGACTCTTTTGGATTTGGAATCTTGTCAGTCGTCACTGTTTTTGGTTGTATATTTGAGGTATAAAGAAAAGTGGAATTGTGGATATTTCCAGATGGTTATGCAGATCTAAATCTCGAACCTTTGTTCTTTTAATGCAGGATGATTCATATGTAGAAAGTTACATAAGCACCATTGGGGTCGATTTTGTTAGTAAACAGTCTTTGGTGTTAACTTGGCATTTAAATGCCTAAAATTATAGCAATGATTCTAATTTTTTGTTGATTCACTTTTCTTTTTTGGTAAAAAATACGTACTGTGGAGCAGGATGGGAAAACCATCAAACTTCAAATCGTATGCTTTTTTACATTCTTTTTCTTTGATCCTTTGGTTCGAAAATTTTCTGACCTAGGTTCTTCCCAGTTATGTTACTCGGACAAGGGTGTATGCGTCGGAACTGATATGTATCCGACATGGCTATGACTAGATTTTTCAAAGTTTCTCTGTATATTTGGAGGATTCTTGGAGGTCATATCCCCATATTTGAGTGTCGGACACGGATACTTGATGAGAAATGAAGTGTCCGAGTAACATAGCTTCAGAGCAATACATCTAATAAGAGAGAATGAGCCGTCTGATCATCTTCTTTGGCTGCTGCCTTTTCCATTTGTATATTTTCATTTTATAATTTAATCCTACTAAGTTACTTGTAAATCTGGACTCTTGGTTTCTTGATGATAACTAGTTAGTCTGCTCTTGGTTCAATGTACAGTGGGACACTGCCGGACAAGAAAGATTCAGGGCAATTACTAGTAGCTATTACCGTGAGGCTCATGGCATCATAGTGGGTGATCTTATATTTTCTAGATTTTTTTTTCCATATTTTCCTTTTTATGCTACTTATAAGCCTTTTTTAATATAATGTTTTTCTTTCCTTTTCGTTGCTGGCTCCTCTGTAAGATCGTTTATGATGTGACAGACCTAGAAAGCTTCAACAATGTCAAGCAGTGGCTGGGTTAAATTGATCGCTACGCTAGTGATAATGTTAACAAAATACTGGTTGGAAACAAGTGTGATCTTACGGAAAATAGAGTTGTGTCCTACGAAACAGCCAAGGTATTTCCCAATTTAAAATATATAGCATAAAGTTGTCTCTTTTGTGTAGAACCTTGCAGGTTAGCAAGGAAGAGCTGTGTGATTATCAAATTGTAATTGTTGGTGATTTATTGCTTTCATCGCCCTATTCCTGATTCCCTTCTTCAATGTTGCTGCTTTCTTCTTTTAGGCATTTGCAGATGAAATCGGCATACCCTTCATGGAAACTAGTGCAAAAGATGCCACTAATGTCGAACAAGCTTTCATGGCCTTGGCTGCCTCCATCAAGGATAGGTACCCTATAGCTTTTTCCTTCTAATTAGGCTGTAGCCGTAGCACATACTATGACAATAATGCTAGCAATGTCGCTGATGGCAACCTTAAAGTTATTGAAATTCTAGAAGTATGTATAGTTGACCGGCTGCATGTCCAATTATTCAATCTTATAGAGAAAAAAAAAACCCTCTAGGCCAAATACACAAACTCATTTGCAAGGAAATTTATGACAAAATATTGGTTCCTTAATTTTGGTTTGTTCAGCTCACTCATTAACGTGGCCTGCTGCTTAATGCAGAACGGCAAGCCAACCTGCTGCGAACAATGCAAGGCCTCCAACGGTACAGATCCGAAGTCAGCCTGTTGGACAGCAGAGTGGCTGCTGCTCTTCCTAAGACGAGGTCAATGATGAATTTGCAAGCTCTTTCGGATGCAGTATGCTGCCTTCGGTGGCTTGTAAGATTTGTGTTTCTTAACTCGATGGTTTTATTGGAACTTAGTTGTTCGGGTTAGAGGATCTAATTCATTTCTATGTACTCGTTAATGCCAATGTCTTGTACAATGTATGTTTGTTGGTTAATATGATAGTGTTCTCTCTCAAATCTGAATGTTTTTTAAACTTTTTTTGGAACATAACCTTCCATTAAACAAAGGAAACAATTACAGCAGAGATAGCAATCAGTAGCCACCGGGTGAAGTAACCAAAAGTGACTATAAAAGTTGCAACACCGGTAATGCTATCAACTACCACAGCGGTGGAAACATAGACGTTCCTCTGTAATGCTATCAACTCCCACAGCGGTGGAAACACGGTCATTGCTCTGTCGAAGACAGGGACAATGTATTTTATATCCCCTGTGCTAGGACATTGTTCTTCAGACATTAAGCTAGCTGACAATGTTGTCTTGGCCAACGGAACTTCATCGATCATCCCGTGGAGAAACTACCGTCATGAATAATGGTTTTGAGCTAGGCTTTCGCTCGTGTTGGGGGCTGTTCTTGCAATTAATGAGTTGGGGGAGAGGCAGTGCTATTGTTATTGGCTTATTTGCTTTTGTGTTCTTAAATCTGTGTGACGTTTTCCGCATTTTATGAACTAGAGATATATATCATGTCTATCTTAGAATTAAGAACATCAAATACTTTGTTTCTAAACTTATCTTCCGCAGAGTCCATTCTTTTACGTGTATCTCTATCACAAGAAATACTTTTAAAAATGTATACATATATATTAATAAAAAAAAATTCATGTCGAGTGAATATAAATAAAATTTTAAGATAGATGTCATCAATAAAACAAATAATTAATATAAATAAATTCAAATTTTAAGAGAATATAAACTAATAACAGAATTTAGTTATTAACCAAATAAAATTAACGTTGAAAATAAATGGAACCATACTTGAAGTCACCGCTAAACCTAGTCAAACCTCAGTTACACTTGACAAATAATATCTTAACACACAAGTAATTAATGTATTGTTTTATTAATTAATATGTATGGTTTTATTACGAGATAAACATATTTTTTTCTGAAATAGTCTGCTATGATAAACATAATCATTGTTTTTATTACAAGATAAACATAATTATTTTGGTTTAATAATGTTGTCGTTAATGCAAAAATAAATATTTAAATTAAAAAATACAAAA